AACTGTAGAAGAAAACCTTCTACAGTTAGTCTTTCTAACGTATCTGTATAAACGTCTATCCGGAGCTCGTCTTCGCTACTACTTGTGTCACGAGACTCATTCGTGTTCGAACGTTTTGCCATTGTTCTAATAAAAAATACGAATAAATACATAGGTTGAAAATTTCTAATCGTTATTACTAACTCGCAAGATGATATTTACCAAAAAAACTTTTACCAAACAATTTATTTACCAAGAGAAGAATCACTTTTCCGATTTTCTCACTCGTTAGATCTATCTATACCGCTCGACGCTTCGAACCAGACCGAGTTCGGCTTTGAAAATCTTTTCCTCCAGATTTTATGATTATAAATCTCGCTATACAGTGCGTGTTATGTTCGCATACCGATCTTTCTTCTACAAACTTGCCTTATCGCTCTTTTCAAATGGCGCCTTCGAAGTGCTCGGACCGTCGGGAGCACGCCTCTCGCGTTCTCGTCAAAACCCGCTGACATTTTTTGCATATATCTTAGTAATTTTACTATATTTTGATTTGTTTTCTTGTGCCATTTCGAGAGAAAACTTCAGGGAAACATGCGTGTCTGAAAAAGTTGCGCTGAAATAACTCAATTCCCCGTAATCGCTAATAAACTTGAATGACCCACGAGAGGGGACATCCGAGCGATATGCTAGAATTACGATGTCCCACGAGAGGGAACAACGGAGTGCAAAGGGTTAAAGGGACGGGATGGAGAGGGGTGGAAGCGACCCAGAGGGGAACGTGTCGCGACTCACGATCCACGCGACGAAATTAACCCTCGGCACCGCGGTGTCTGGGTTCGTTTTGACCCGGCGCTTCGCGTACACAACATTTGGCACGGTTCCCCCTTTTCATCGCATTCGACGCGAAAAGAAGGTCCGCAGTACGGGAGCCTGTTTTTCTTTCCTTTTTTCGGTCGAACGATCAGCTGTCGCGAATCGCGAGCAAGAAGTCGATCCTCGAAATACCGAACGCGAACCACGCGCCCCGGAGAAACCGTGACCGTACTCACGATTCTCGTGTCTCGGGAACATCCCTTAAGTATTTTCGCACCTGTTGCCGAACGGCTTGCCGAAACCACCTCCTCGGTTACGTAAACAATCGAAACGACAAGTTATTATCCGTATCGTTTGGTCGAGCGCGAAATCCTTGTAAACCAGGGGTGTCAAACTCGCGGCCCGAGATGAACATTTTTGCGGCCCAGTCAATATATCCGACGCGAGGTAAAAATACAATAGAAATAGCCTCGGCCAATAAAATTTCTCCCGAAATAGGAAAGATAGTATCAGAGAAGAGATGTCAAGTATCAGGACGTAAACAATAATTTACTTTTATACATGTGTTTATTACAATGTACTAGTCAAAATAAAAATATTTCTTTCTATAAACATTGATTTTCTTTTTTTGCGGCCCACCTAAAGTTAAGCATTGTTTATTTGACCCAAGTTAGCTTTCGAGTTTGACACCCCCGCTGTAAACGAAAGCGGAGCGGAGATCGACGCGTAAACCAGAAAACTGACCAACGACACGCAACCTTCCAGAGACTCGTACCGTCGAAATTCGAACGAACGAAGAATACTTTCGCCGATCGCTGCGAACGATTTTATCCCATCCCTCGTGTTTCTATGCATTTATAACGCGAAACGATGCGGTGAAACTGAACAAACAGCGAAGAGATTGAAAAAAGCTAAGAACGTTGGTTTACTAATTCCGACACGATAACGCTATTAGAGAAAGAATGAGGACTATGGGAACTATAGTTACTATAGTCCTATATATACTATATATTATACTATAGGAAGTATAGTCCTATATATACTATATACTATAGGAACTATTATAGTCCTATGTATACTATATATACTATAGTCCTATATATACTATATACTATAGGAACTATAGTCCTATATATACTATATCTACTATACCTCCTATATATACTATATACTATATCTACTATACCTCCTATATATACTATATACTATAGGAACTATAGTCCCATATATACTATATATAATACTATAGGACCTATAGTCCTATATATACTATATACTATAGGAACTATAGTTGGCGCGATCTGTCTTACAGACGATGCAGAAATGTTGTCGCTTCGCGTAAAGATCCGCTATCTAATCACTGTAACAATTGCGGGTTTATTCGTCGGAACGCGTTTCAAAATCTGAGAGCAGCGTCCACCGCTGGAACGCGAACGTTGACAGTCGAGGACGGGCCGCTCGTCGAATAATTCGCCCGAGAGGCAGCAGCAGATTTCGGTGAAAATTCGTCGGGAAAGTCGGCGACGCGGCTGGTCGCACGAATATACCGAGCGGGCCGCGCGGCGCGGATTGAAGAGGGCAGAACGAGGTGCCGTGTGTCCAGGTTACGGCTCGGGCGGAATTGGGTCGACATATGCGCGCCGCGGAAACGAGGGTGCACGGAACGCTGGAGGATAATTGGCCGGCCGTCTTACCCGGAGGAGTCTGCGTCCGGACTTGCTCAGCAATTTCCTCAGCATCTCGAAGGCGAGCGGCTCCTCGCGCTGGCTCCGACGTCTGTCGCGATGGTTCTCCGTGGTGTTGTTCGCCGGATACACGGCCGGAACCGTGTGCGTCGCGAGCCCCTGGCCTCGGCCCTCGGGCGCTGCTCGAGCCTCGGAATCACGGCCGAGCCAAGAAAATTGCGAACGCGACGCGGGGATTGATTTTCGTGGCTGCCGCGAATTCTCACTCGCCGAGGCGGTCGGAGTCGGGTCTCGTCGGCTCGGATCGGATCGATGCGCACCGGTCGGCGTCACGCGACCAAATACCGCTCGGCGGCACGGCGCTGCCCTATTTATCACCTCGGCTGCCCGCCCGGCCTTATCGTAACACGCTACACGCCGCACACGCTGCTACGCGCTGCTCCTCGCTGCACGCTCTGCACATCCCCCACTCCCTCGCCCCTAGCTGTTACCCCTTGCACGATTTCGTATCGTTTCGTCACCGATTAGGATCCGACTTCTCCTTTAACACCGAACTCGCAAGCGAGCGCGAAAAGCGATCGAACTTCTTCCGTTCCGTGGACGTTTCGTCGGGATTCTTTTTTATTAGGTTGGTGCGCGTGAAATGTCGGATTTTTAAGCGAATATGTAAAACTGCATAGCTTTTTTTCAGGAGCTGTTTGCTTAATCGAAATATGCTCCATTTGCTTCGATACGCTTTTCCCAGCGAGATTTTCATGCACGGAAGCCGGTCTTAAAGAAATTCTGATCTTTAGAATCAAGAAACTCCGAGATGGAAGTTTTCGGACCGTCTTCGTTTTCGTTCTGTTTAGCCCGTATAAATTGCTTTCTAAGGGTTGAAAAAAAATGAAAGTCGGCTGGCGAAAGATCCGGCGAATAAGTTGGGTGCTGCAAAATTTCATATTTTAATTCACTTAATTTCGCAATTGTTTCGTACGACGTATGCGGCCGAGCGTCGTCGTGAAGAAGTATTTGGCCACGTCGATTAACAAGCGACGGGTGTATAATTTTCAATTTTTCATGCAATTTCATCGATGTAACGGCAGTACTTTTCGGCTGTAATCGTCTTCCCAGTTCGAAAGAACGAGTAGCGAATTACTCCGGTCGCATTCGTTTCCACCAATGCTTCTGGAGCATCATTTTTTAGAAACGTTTTGGGTCTTCCACGCGGCTCATTTCGTAGGGAAAAATCACCAGATCGAAAATTTTCAAACCGACGCTGCACTTTTCGATCGTTGACAGTATTCTCCCTAAGACAGTATTTCTCTTCAACGCCAAACCCATNGTTCGAAAGAACGAGTAGCGAATTACTCCGGTCGCATTCGTTTCCACCAATGCTTCTGGAGCATCATTTTTTAGAAACGTTTTGGGTCTTCCACGCGGCTCATTTCGTAGGGAAAAATCACCAGATCGAAAATTTTCAAACCGACGCTGCACTTTTCGATCGTTGACAGTATTCTCCCTAAGACAGTATTTCTCTTCAACGCCAAACCCATCGAGCTTTCAACCAGCGACCAACGCGTATTGCTCTATAAGAATCACAGGACCGAATTTATCGATCGACTGCACCATTTTTATTATAGCATGCGTTTGAATTGAAAAGTTTGTTCGAACCGTTTTACACGAGAGAATATATTCATAATATATATATAATATATATAATTATATATATAATATATATAATATATATAATTATATATATAATATATAATATAACATCGATAATTTCGAAATGAACAAAATATGCAATCGGCCTTTTTGGCCGACCCTTGTGGGGGTTCAGCGTCGAAGCACGATTTTTGAGTGTCGTCAGTCGCGATCGCGACTAAGATTTGCAAATGATCCAGCTTAAAGCTGCTTTCACGTGCGCCTAAACGACGAAAGTATTTGGCTGCTTTTTGGACACCGGCCGCGCATCGATTGCCCTAATCTCGGCACGAATCGATGGGAATTGAAAGAGGTGAGATCGCGGCTCCGCTCGGCGGCGCGGTCTCTCTTTCGTTCATTGAAAAATCGCGGAGCGTGTTGGTCGCGTGTCCGCTCGCGGACCGCGCAAGCGCGTACGCAGGACTTACGCAGCGTGCACGTGCACGGCGTAACGCGTGTGACCGAAGCTGTTCTCACGCGACGAGCGTCGACGAGCGCCGACACGCGGCCGGAGCCCCGTGTCTTTCTCGATGGGTGCGTGCCGCCACGTGCCGGCTCTATGCGCCCACGGAAAACTCATAATTGTCATAACATTCGAGCTGCACCCTGTCCTTTGGTCCCCCAGCTCCGCCAAACACCAATACCAGCTACTCGTCTCGAAAGAGCCATTCCACCCCCACCCCTCCAACGATAAGCCATGCATATTAGGTCGTTAACTAACAAGGAAATACGCTCAAGTTGCAAGAGGCTCGGTCTTGATCGAACTTACGCGACAAACGGTTCTTGCGGAAATTATTCGGCGCGTGAGAAAGAAAAAGAAAACCTCCTCGCACATTTATTGCGGCCCGCCGCGCCGTGTCGGAGGAGCAGAGGCGTTTATACGCTATAATAAAAATGGTGGAAGGTCTCGATAAATACGGTCCTGCGATTCTTATAGAGCAATACGCGTTGGTCGCTGGTTCAAAACTCGGCCAAAAATCGGTCAAAAAGGCCGATTGCATATTTTGTTCGTTTCAAAATTATCGATGTTACGAATATTCAAACGCACACATTTTTTATTTCAAGACGAGTTGCAAAGACCCTTTTGTTGGAAACGATTGGACAGATCTCCCGACTCGCATGCATTATATTCGGTTAGTGCATATGAAATGTCGGATTTTCTTTACACGCGATCGTTTCTCTCCCTGTTTTCGTTATGCTTTTGTTCTTTGCATAATCTCGCTTATAGTCGTACCGTCCACTGCCAAAGTCGCGTCTCAACGAAGAAGATTTTCTCAAAAGTGTTACATTTTGTTATTTGTTTTGAATTCCGTAAGGATGCGAATTCAAACGATGTTCGTGTAATTTTTTTATACGCGAGCATAAACTTGGTAATAATGCTGTAAAAATATATAAATAATATAAACTAATATAATATATGTATATATATATATATATATAATAATATTAATATTATATAATAATATTAATATTTAATAATGATATTAATAATAAATATTATATATAATATATTAATAATATATTATATAATAATATTAATATTATATAATAATAATAATAATATTATATAATAATATTAATATTATAAAATAATATTAATATTATTATTATTATATTTATAATAGTCTTTATGCAAAAGAAAGAAGAAATGGTCTCCTCATTTCAATGATTGCAACAAGCTGCCAATGATGTAACGATATCCTTAAATTCTTCATTGAAATCGTCAGTTTCATTTTTCACCTATTCATTTTCGTCAGAAATGCGTGTAATCCGCAGCCCCCATAATTATCGTTCGAGGAGTCGCGCGCGAGACACAAGGCATAAGGTGCCGAACAGCAGGACAAAGGTAACGAGATAGAGCGACGACCGCCGCGTCGATCGTTCGTTCGTAGAGGTACGCGAAATTAAGCAATCGCGAATGTCGTCACACGGATTACGTCAGCAGGAGGCTGTTCGACCGATGACGTCAGCGAGGATACGTACCCCGCGTTTAAACTAGTTCGATAGCTTCGGTGCTCTGTGCCTGCACACGAAAGCGAGTGCAATGCGCCGCGGATGCAACCCCCGGTGCTGCTGACGCATGCTTTCTTACGATCAGCGAACACGACGATGAAACACTTTCTCGTATTAGCAACCGGCGGACACCCATGTTTCCATCCCGTCCAATTCGTTATCGTTCGATCGATTTCAGACAATGAGGGACGGGTTATCGGCAATTCATCGTCGGCGCAGCAAATCGACGTAAAATAGCTTCTTTGTTTCTAGAAAATAGCTTCAGCTTTTTTCCGCATCTCTCTCGGTTCGACAAAATCATTTCGTTCACTCCCAAGTACATTATGTACATCGAATTAATTCGTAATTTCATGCTTCTCGCGACAGTGTCGCTTTTTTCCGAGATAAAAATGCGGGGCTTTCTGACCTATTTTTATCGTTAAATATTCTCAATTTGCACGTACGTATGCTGTTCACGCGTAACATCAACAAAATATAAAATATAATAGGACACGAATAAAATATGGTTACCGAATGTATCCTTTTTGGGTGTCATTGGTAACGGTGAATATTCTGGAACAAGAATAAATAGAAGATACAGTAAATTCGAACAGAAATAAACATAAAAATGGACGGTTTGGGAAGAGGAAGTGCGCCTCATTTTTGCAATTACCGATAATTGGCGACTATAAAAATAAGTCACGAGGCTCGAACGGTCGTATCTCCTCTCGTACCTCCTCCAAATAGTCCATTTTTGCTTACAAGCTGAAGGAAAATTGGGAAAATTACTCTATACCGCGATATGCGCGACAGCGTTTCGCTTTCCGTGCTTCGTGAACGAACGAGCAGGAAAAGATAAAAGGGAAAAAGGGGGACTTATCACTGAAACTACCGAGCATTAAAAGCGACGAACGCGAATTTCTCCGTAAGACCGATAAGACCGAATTTATTTAAGACATTCCACAAATTTTGATTGCAACGAACACACGCTTGGATCATGAAATTTGTTCGATCGTTTCCTATGGAAGAGTTACTGCGATGTCGGCGATTCTTAACCCTTTGCACTCTGCTGTCCCCTCTCGTGGGACATCGTAATTCTAGCATATCGCTCGGATGTCCCCTCTCGTGGGACATTCAAGTTTATTAGCGATTACGGGGAATTGAGTTTGTGGCGTCGCATCCCTCTACCTGAGCGCGGCCGCTAGCAATAAAACAAGTACCGTTCCTAATCCTCAAAATTCCCTAAAAATCACGCACCCCTAATAAAACAATTCTCCTCACATCTGGACACCTCGACCCGCACGAGACTTTCCCAACTTTCTCCTTTCCTACGAAAGTCCATCTATTCCTTTCTTCTCTTCCACTATAAAAGAGACAAACGCGCAACTCAAAAAGCTCAGTCTGTCCTAAGTTGCTAGTCCTACGACGTCACGCTAGTCGCGCCCGCGCTCATCGATAACAATTCAATAAACTGCATTAATAGTAACCTCAAACACGCTCTCCGATTCGCTAACCTTTCCTTCAGTGCTAAAAGTTATTTCGGCGCAACTTTTTCAGACATGCATGTTTCCCTGAAGTTTTCTCTTGAAACGGCGCAAGAAATCGAATCGAAATATAGTAAAATTACTATGATATATACAAGAAACGTCAGCGGATTTTGACGAGAACGCGAGAGGCG